GTAAACAATCCTCTCTTTCGCAATTGAAAACATTTCAAACATATATAAGGATTCATCTTCTGAAATTGAACCTACCAATTCTGAAATACAACTTACCATTTCTGAAATTGAATGGACTTTTTCTGAAATTCATCTCACCGATTCTGAAATTGAGTTCACCATTTCTGAAATCGAACTAACCAATTCTGAAATCGAGATTACTTTTTCCGAAATCTAACTCACCGATTCCGAAATTGAAGTTGAAAAGGTATAGTCGGCCTTATCAGATTTTGCAAAACTGTTTCCGTTAATGAAATACACGGCGCTTCTGAAAATTCATACTTTTTGAACCCCCATTATATCTACAAAGTTTCTTAGCGAAAATGACACATAAAAATCCCATTGAAAATTCTACGCAGAATCCAGTGACTCACGCAGTTGTTTTTTCGGGGTACGGTTTTGCAGATACGACTAAAACTTATGATTTTTTAAATGGGAAACCCTGTATATATTTTATAAGCTCATTAAATTCCCTATTCTTTTCTCTTCAAAATAATTTATGATGTAATGATATAAAATTTTCAAAAATGCTCAAAGATCACACACTCCCTCTATACGTCTTATTCATTCCAAATCATCAAAGGATGTCATTGTAATTTCTGAAAAACTGCCTCTGTTGCTTCAGGAAGTTCTTCAAGATTTTTGTACCTCTTACTGTATTGAGACATACTGAGAAATTGTGTCAATTATGTGTTAGGGAAAATGGATATCAATCTGACCAATTCAATGAATAATCCCAAAATTCAATTGTTTTAGTAAATATTTAATCAGGTGCTTATTCTAAATATGAACTTCTTATTACTATATCTTTCAGGTGAAATAGTTTTGTTAGTTAATTATTGTTGGTATTGTTTTTGTCCTCCCCATGGAAAAATAAAAAAAAATATTCCGTCAATTGAAACTTTTTCATATAGAAAATCCATCCAATCCGTTTGAAATTCAATGTTTTAGTGATTTTGGAGCATTTTCGAAATTTTTATATTTATACAATATATATCATTTTGAAGGTGAAAAACTAGGAATTTAATGAGCTGATGAAATATAAAGTGTTCCATTCAAAGAATTATAAGTTTGGGTCCTAGCTCCAGAACCATGGCACAGGATCGCGAAAACGACAAGATTCTATCTCAATAGAAGAATGGACCAATAGATAACTGATATATCACCCAGAAGCATCGAAAACTGGACACACTGTACATTGAATTTTCAAAGAAAACTCACTTTCGATATTGGAAACTGTCCCTTTTGTAGAGTTAGTTCAATCAACAGATACCAAAAATGATGGAAAAGGGAAAATAATAAATCGTGTATCACAAATTTTTTACATTAACAAAACTGAAAGTCCTGATTCGTGGTTCATGAGCACCATGAGCCAAGATGTAGACAAACGGTAAAAGGTTATTCTTGAATTATTCAAAATGAACCACATAAAATTTGGTATATAAAATATATGCTCTATTCATTTTTCATCTTCAATAAGTAGTTACGCTGAAATACAGAAGATGAAAAACTCTAGGGGAAGATAGATCACTCATCTCAGTGACAACCAAAAAGACCCAGTAGCTCCTGAAGATACTGAACAACATCTTTTTCCGCGATGTTATACTGAATGTAGGAGACGATGTGTAAGTTGTAAGTAAGTAGTATTGCCAACTATTCATACTATGTTTTGAGTGTTCTATGCTCCCCTGATGGCCTGATGTTACTGACATTATAATATTAGACAGTTGAGTATGCGCGGTCTTTTGATAGAGATAGCAGGACAAGAACCATTAACCATTATCTGCTGTTACCATTTGTGCTGTTTGTATTAATTCTTCTGGAAGTTGGATATTATGATTGCTTGAAGTAAACTATTGTTGTATTATTCAAAACTGTAACCCAAGATATTATACATGGTGTCAGGTGTGCCAAATAGATAGAATTTCATGCTCAATGGTGTGCGGTATGTGACATAAGGTACGTTCACCGTTACTCGTTAAGGAAAATAATGATTATGAAGATGATTAGTTGTTGATTATTAAAATGGTCAAATCCACGATGTTTGTTCTCGATGAGTAATTTTTTTTTCGTTACTATCCATGTTAAACATCGATTTCACATCATAAAACTGTATTTTTAAATACATCTCGATTTTTTTATACCCTGTATCTCAGAAGCAATTCATTGTGGATGAAAAATAAAAATGTTTTTTTCCCACAGAAAATTTGATGTTGTTCAATTTTGTAAATGTACACTCTTCCGCTTGAAGCCACTATTTTCAACATGGACAAATGACCTTGGAACGTTTCCCTATTTCCTGCAGATTCCCCAAAGGTCACGACTTCAACTATGCTGTTCGTGGCACTTCCATCTAAAACTTTCAAAAATTTTGCGACTACCCTAATTATATTTCTCCAGTTGTTTGTTCGTTAACTTTAATGAACTGAATTGACCAATGCTTGATATGTTGTAGTCCGCAGTCATTCTGGATAAAATGTCCCTTTTCCTGCTGAAGGCTCTGTTGAGACCCACAAACTATACAGACTGACCTCAATCTGAGTATAAGGACAGCACATATGAAAGATTACGGGGGCAACGAGACGCTGACCCAGATTACCCAAATGATGAAAAATTGCTCTAAATGGTCCAGAGTACGAGGACAACAAAATACTGACTCAAATTATCTTCATGATGAAAAATTGCTCTGAATGGTCCAGATCCCTTCAGCATAAATGCAATAGAAATTTCAGGAATGGTACAAGTCTTCACCAGGAATGAAGTAAGATGAGAATGTCATCAAGAAACCAAAATTCACTGACTACCTGTCATAAAGCCACTGTCACATACTTAGCCACCGCGATGGCTTTTCCAGACTGGAAAATATCATTACTCTGAGGAAACCTATTCTCAAACTAGAAAACGAAGTGTAGAGACTATTATCACGAGCTCAAGTGCATGATCCACAAGTCAGATATCAAACACAAGTACCTATACGCTGATGCTCATAGGTTCCACTCATGACCAAGCTATTCACCTGGTCAATCATGCCACACTTGGAAGTTTCCTTATAGCTCCAGGAAGTTGAAGACCATTCAGATTTTCATAGACCAAGTTCTCCAGAAATCTCTCTCCATTCTCGGTATCAGTCTCACCTCTTCATCCTTGAGATGCGTCTAGATAACTATTCACCAAAATCTAATTGTCCATTGAACAGTAAATCTTTAAAATTTATACCCAGGGCATCCTGAGTTACATGCACAAAGTATTCCAGTACATGATAAAGATTTCGAAAGGAATCGAAGAGAAGCTTATGAATCCAACTCTCCAGTGAGACCACTCTGCCTATCGCTCACTACACTCTTGAACATTCAGTTGAACTAGGATGAATGGGTGATGATGATATAAAAACTGATGAGGGTACTGACGCTGGGAGGAAAAAACAAACAAAACAACTTTCTTATTCTGAAGCTGCTATGCTTCAATACTTTAGGCAGAACTGAGGTAAATCAGTTCCAGGATGATCTAGGAAGTATCTACGAAAAAGCGACAAATTCTATACTTTTCGGTACAAATCTTCTTGGCTACGTGAGAAGATATCATATACACAATACATTTAGCTAATTCAGATACAATAACTACTTCCTACTATAACCAATCAATCAATCGCTCAATCGATACTTACACCACTAGCACCAGATCACATATTAACCAAACTGACGAAGAAAATAGCCACTTCTGACTACAACCAATCAATAGATCAATCAATCAATCGATACTCACACCAGAACACAGCCACGAAGTCCTTGCCAGATACAATAGCTACTGCTCACTACAACCAATCAATCAATCAATCAATCAATTAATCGATAGTTGCATCAGTGCAACTGTGGAATAAAATAGCTAATTTCCACTACAACCAATATCAATCGATCAATCAATCAACAGATTCTTATACCAGAATACAGCCACGAAGTCCTTGTCAGACACAATAGCTACTGCTTACTACAACCAACCAATCATCCAATTAATTGATAGTTGCATCAGTGGAACTGCGGAATACAATAGCTACTTCTTAATTCAACCAATATCGATCGATCAATCAATCAATCGATTCTTATATCGGAACACAGCCACGTAGTCCTTGTCAACACTTCACCAACACTCGTTTGTCTATGGAACGGCTTAGCTTCGAAATTCTTTGCCAACGGAAGTATTCCTAAGAATTTATATCCTCCAAGAGTTTAATAAAAATGCCAATACCTACCTCCTTCTACTATCCTCCAATATCCTTTCTTGGGAAAATCACGTGAGATCAATTGCTAAAAGTGCATCCCAAAAACTTGGTTTCCTGTTTCGGGCCAGGAGCTATTTCACTTCCAGTCAGCTGCTCATGATCTATAAGGCACAGATCCTACCTGTCCTGGAATACTGTTCCCATATTTGGAGTGCGGCACCCAAAAATACCCTGAAACTGTTGGATTCTGTGCAAAAAAGGGCAATTCGTCTCGTGGGTGATGCTTCACTCACAAACTCACTCACTTCTCTGAATCACTGTAGAAGAGTTGGTGATCTGGCTCTATTTTATAGATATTTTCAAGGACGATGCTCTTCGGAAATATCAACAATTGTACCTCCCTGAACAGTCCCCGCGAGATTAACCCGTCGAGTTCAGGCTTCGCACCCCTTCGTGGTGGAGACCTGCAAAACATCTCTTTTCAGATACTCGTTCATCCAACGAACAGCGAGGCTCTGGAACATATTGCCAAGGGAGGTGTTCTCCGCGGCATATTCCAAGTCCTACCTTATTTCCCTTGGTTCTCACGATGTTCTCTGAACATTACAGGATGTCCCTTTTCGTGGGAACCACAACATAAAAAGAGGTAAGCAAGATTTTCTCCGGACATCAAAGGAGTTTCCTTTCGTGCGCTCCAAGAGTTGAAAAAATCAATGAATCATTGAATCAATCAGGCAATACTTACACCAGAATACAGCCACGTAGTCCTTGTCGGCCAGGATGCGCTCCAGCTGCTTGGCAGTGACCTCCTCGATGACCGGATCTACGGCCGCGGGAGGCGGCGGCTTTTTCGCCGCCGCCGTCACAAGCGTCGTCAGCAGCAGCCACCGCCACATGCTGCCTGTCACTGAGTAAAGCTGGAGCGGCGTCGCGGCGCTGCTTTCCCACCACGGCGGGCGTCGATCGGACGACGAACGGTGCGAATAAAAAACGCCGAATGAGTAGTGCACATAAGAAGGATTGCTCATTTCATGAAAATATACAGGTTGTCTGGAAAGGTCATGTCGTGAATGATATAATAATAATGATACTAATAATATAATAATGATATATTATTGATATCAATAATAATAATAATAATATATCGATAATAATAATAATAATAATAATAATAATAATAATAAGCTGTGTGAAGAAGTCACTCGATTTCATCCAGCACAACTCTGCGTGGCTTCGGAGGCAGCAGAGTCGTGAGTAAATTCAAATTGATAATACTAATAATGAAAAGAATGATAACATAAGATTATAAATGGTGGCATCGTAGATAGACACAATTTCAACACTCAAACACTTTTTTATTCACTCAGGACGGCTTGTACAAAGATGACCCTTTATGAAAATTCAGCATCGACAAGTTTTTCGTTCTGATTCTACGATGCTCTCGAAACACTAACTTGGGTTCTGCTACACACTCATGGCTGCTTTTTCTGGTGTTCATAGCAAAAACACACTTGGTCTGCATTCTCAAAATTGCCTGATAGGAATAAAGAAAAGAAGAATAATATTCTGTAAAAATACGTCAGGACACAATAAATGAGTGAGAAACTTCATGACTTGAATCACCCAACCCAACTTGATCAAAAAAAAACATCAAGTCACTACGGAACATGATGAAAAATACTCATCAATCAGTCACTAACGGAACAGATTGTCATCAATCTATCATACCTGAATCGGCATAACAGCAATAACGGCGAGTTAGAAAACATACAGGGTCTATTTTCTCCACATAAATGAAGTGGTGATATATCCACGACAAATAATTCGTAAAGATCGAAAATTAGCTGCATGGTTTTGGAAAAAAATCAATATGTCATCATTATTGGTATTGGTAGGTTGTTCTGGTTCTTCCTCACAGAATCTGCAGGTGCCGTCCTCCTGTAAGCCTAGCTTCCTTAGGTGTTCTTTGAGTCTGCAATGCCCCGTTAGAAATCCCGTTATTGCTTTGAGACTTCCTTTGCTGAGGTTTGTCAGTGTCTTAGATCTTTCTCGGTTGAAATTTCCAAGGAGATCTTTAGCCTGCCGTAGTCCTGGAAGTCTTCTCCATTGTCTGGCTCTCCAGGCTCCTTCCGCCTTCTCAAAGTCTCCTTGGAGATAGGAATGTCCAAGGCCGCAGAATGGCTCTGGTCCGATCAGTGGCGTTGGAGCCCCTTGTCGTGCCAGAGTGTCTGCTTGTTCATTCCCCTCTACTCCAATATACCCTGGCACCCAGAGGAGGATCACTTTATTGTCACTGCCTAGCTCATTCAATTTGCTCAGGCATTCTCATACCATCTTCGAGTTGATGTAAGGAGAGCTCAACGCTTTGATGGCTGCTTGGCTATTGGATAAAATCGCGATGTCCTTCTTCCGGTATTTCCTGTCTAGGTTGAACTGGATGCATCTTTCTATGGCGTGTATTTCCGCATGAAACATGCTGAGGAATTGTCCCATGGATTCGAAGTATTTGGTGCGAGGCCCAAAGACTCCTGCTCCAGTTCCCTCGGGTGTTTTAGACCCGTCCGTATACCAAGTAATGGTGTTTCTTCCTAGTGATTCGATGGATGCTATGCTCCATTCGCGCTTGTTGCTCAGCTCCACTCGGAAGTTTTTCTCAAAACTGAACTTCCTAATGATTTGGTCTGTTGGAAGATCGGCGAGGTGTGCGATCTCAGTGGGGGGTGAGCCCCTTGCACTGTGCGTTTTCCCTCTTAGTCCGACCTTGGCTAACCTGAGATGTGCTCCATAGGCAGTTCTCCTCACCACGATGTGTAAAGGTGTGAGATCCAAAATGACCTCTAGTGCTGCTGTTGGAGCTGATCTCATTGCTCCTGTTATGCAAATACATGCCAATCTTTGCACCTTCTCTGATATTTTCCTTGTAGTGGCGAGTTCGGTTCTGCCGTGCGACACTACTGCAACGTAGGTGATTATTGGTCTCACTAGCATGGTGTACATCCATCGCAGTATTGATGGGTTACATCCCCACGTTTTTGTCATCATTACGTTCAACAGCAAATACAGAACACATAAAAATAGCCAAGAAATTGTTAACAGACGTGTTCAGGATTTTTTCACAAACCGATATGAACAATGTATCCAGTTTTCGATGCCTTTGCATGATGTCTCAGTTATCTCTGGTCTCTTTGGAAAAGGAGTGTTGCGGTTTTCACATTAGGGTAGACCGGGGTAGGAAGTAACAGGCAGAGAAAGCACTATTCTTTTAACTGTGGAGAAAGTAATGAACTCAAATATCTGAAACTAAGAATACGTCATCTGCTTTTTTGTGAGATGGCAACACTGTCGGCTAGCATAAGTTGACAATATCCGCATCGGACTGTTCTGTGATTTTTTACGGTGCTCTAAAAAGTAATATTTTCCGAGTTCTTTTATAGTACTCTGACTGAAATTCCATTCAGTTCACAATACCAAATAAGAACAATCATAGTGATTAACTAAATAAAACTCGAAATCATTTCCACGACACTTTACTATGTGGACGATGTCACATCAGGGGATACATTTTTTGGGACATGCATATGTCTATCATCAGCCTATAAGAAATTAGTCCTACAAGAGACAAAAATGAAGCACTAATTTCTGATAGGCTGATGATGGACATATGTATGTCCGAAAACATGTTCCCGCTGATGTGACATTGTTCACATAGTAAACTGTCGTGGAGATGATGTTGAGTTTTATTTAGTTATTACAACTACACTCAACTTTGAGAAATGTTGGTGAGAAATAGTGATTGTTAACGTCCAACAATCAGATACGCTACTGCTCAGTGGAATGAGCTTATGTCACTGGTCGGTTATCACAGACATGTGCGAATGCTGGTTCAGTAGTGTGCGACGTGTAGCCGAATTTCGAACAAGCATATCACATTTCCATCTAATATTTTGTGTTGATGTTCATCTTTATCGAATTGTGATAATAGGAAGTGAATTAGAAATAAAAAAAAAATGATTTCTTTGGTCAATTTTATTAATCGTCTCAGTTCCCAAAGGCATGTTATCAATCTACAATTTACATTTTAACAATAATTAACAAATCATATATCATGATGTATTCAATAATCACATCACCATCAAAATTTCACATTTCAATTTTTACAATATTTAAAAAAGGTCGAGTTAGCAACATCAAAATGTTTCATTATCTGTATCATACTGGGAAGGGGCACAAAAAACATAATTGGGATATATCGATTATAAAAAAATATTAATATTGGAAATATCTATAATTTTGGATCTTGTGATGTTAATAACTCCAATTACAAAGATTATGTACAATCCTCCTATTCCAGGTCTGGTCAAATAATTCTCTTATAGAAGCTGAAAATTCTTGATTCATGTTTTCATTTGTTGGAATTAAAGTCTGCTTGAACAAACAACAGCTTCTTACATAATCGAGAAATCAAATTGTCCCAAACTCAAGATCTCCATTCCAAATTTCAAAATCCTTGGTAAGATTTGGCATTCGTTATGTGAGCCCAGTGTTGATTTCACAGAATTATCAAAAACTCTGTATTTATGTACACAGAACTGAAATTATATTGAAAAATAGTCTCAAATCAAACAGGACTAAGTCTAATAAACTTCAAATTTATACAAAGATTTTTCCAACTTGAACAAGATTTGTTTCATTGATTTGGGGACATACACTGTCTAAGCTCGTCAACGAATCGAAAGATGCTTATTCTAGTACAATAATTACATCCTGGTACCCCATGTTTTTGGAATGGAACTTTATCTTATCCTCATTCTCGTCACATTCATGATTTGTGAAAAATAACTGATGAATTTAAATGTGCATTTTCGGGATTTTCAAGTTGTGAATCGGCAAAACAGCAATTACGCCGAGTTAGTAAATATACAGGGTCAATGTTTTTCACATAAATGAAGTGGTGATATATCCCCAACGAATAATTATTAAAGATCGAAAATTCACTGCATTTTTTTTTAGAGAAAAATTTTATACTTCAGTATATAGGTTGTGTGATTTCATCATATGTTCAATAGCAAACACAGAACACATGAAAATGGCCAAGAAACTGTTAACAGACTTTTACATGATTTTTTCACAAACGAATATGTACAGTGTGTTAAGTTTTCGATGTTTTGCGTGATATCTCGCAGTTATTTTTGATCTCTTTGGAGATGGAGTGTTGCGGTTTTGCACATTAGGGTAGATCGGAGTAGAAAGTAGAAAGTAAGATGGCAAAACTGCCGGCTAGTATATGTTGGCGATATCCTCATCGAAATGTTCTGTTCAAGGGTCCGTAATTGTTTGCAATGCTCTAAAAATTAATTTTCAACTGAGATTTTAAGAAATGGCAGGTAATTCGTGATGATATGTTTCCCTCTTGACGCGTTTCAAATTCTAGAACAATTTTGAGGATTTTGCAAAGTTTGCGTGAAAAAGAATAGTTCAAAACGAAAAATAAAGATGGTGACCGGCCAAGAATTTCGAGGCCCACTAAAACATTGTTACTGATGAATTTACCTGCTGATGTCATGTCACTACAAAAACTCAAATAACTCGAGAACGGTTACACTTTTTGTATTTTGATAGGAGTACCATTTTCAGGTAATTTTCTTCTCCCTCTCACATGCTTGTTTTTTTCACATAAAAGAATAAAATGAAAAAAGTTGTCTTCAAAAAATCATGACCCACCCTCTAAAAACACCCTCCATAACTATAGCAGAAATGTAGAAGTGTATAAAAAACTATATTTCATTAACACACATCTGTGCAGTAAATTTCAATTTGGTGGCTTCTACCAAAAAATTATTTTGCATTATTTCATCAACTTCGGAAGAATTATATCTTTCTCAATTCACATTTTTCA